TTTATTATCTCGGTTTGCGCAAGGATTTGTTAGCCTGGTTGAGCTTCTAGAGGCAGCTTTCTTTGTTCAGTCTTAAAATTAAGAATGCTGGTTTAGCCCCGAGACATAGCTCGGTCGGAATTAAGGTTTCCCAGTACACTATTGTACAGCCCAAGACCGGTTCATTAGCTCGGTTAAGGAGAGTATTGTACTTTGGCTTGTTGAGACTAATGGGGCAGCATGAAGTATTAGTTCGGTTGGATAGTCTGCCTAATTCAGCATTAACTACAAACAACTTTCTAGTCCGGTTGCATTATGATTTTGGATCGAAAACCAGTGTTCTACAGGGTATTACATGTATTCGAGTGTTCTATTGCTAAGTTTTTCCAGAAATATACAAATCAAGTAGAAAGAAAGTGTTTCGCAAAAACACAAACCTAGAGCCGTGGATTAAATAAATGCGAAAAAACAAGGAAAGCATGGAAGGTTTGAGTAGCTTACCAGGACAAGAGAAGATGAGAGAAACGGCAGCAAAACCACGAAGCTTCTTCAAATACAGATCAAAAAACTCAGCAAGCTCAGGAACGAGAGCGAGAGAAGAGGAAGTGAATAAGCGCAGTGCTTAATCCAAATGATGAGTTTTTTTTTATACAAAGGGACAAAGGCGGGAACTGTTCAAATTACACAAGGTACGAGGGCGGCGTGACAGCTGCCTTTAGCCAATCAGAGCGTGCCACGTGTCATTGAAATGAGAATCGATTCAGTTGCTGTGATTGAAGGGACGTTTTGACCGGACAAGCTGAGCCCGGTATGGAATTTAGTTCGGCTGGAGAGCTTAAGAGTTTTAGCTTGGCTGGAAAAACTAAAGGGGATTAGTTTGGTTAAAAAGGCTGAAATTTTTTTTAGCTCGGTTGGGGAGAGGTAATCCCTATCATGCTACGCAGATGGAATTAAGGGGCAATTAAGAGGGTAATTTACATGAAAATTGGGCCGAGTGGGTAATGGGCCGTTATGGGCCGCAGTGCGAAGGGCTGAGTAAATAGGCCATGAAGTTACTCCGGCCCAAGAGAGGTGTAAAGTTACTCCGGTCCAAGAGAGGTGTAAAGTTACTCCGGTCCCGAGGAGGTTAGCTCGGTCACCATACTAAAACTTATACCGGTTATGGCGCAGTACGGTTAGCTCGGTCTAAACCTTGCTAAAAGTTAGTTCGGTTTAGACTTACCACGGTTTGTACTGGAGGAACTAAGGTAAGGGCAGTAAAAAAAGGAACCGAACTAAGGATAGTTCGGTCTGTTCTACGGCTAAGGATAACCATGCGTACCTCGGCCACATTGGAGTCCGACTATGGTAAAATGATCTCACTTGGTTTAAACAGTGAGGGGGTGTGGTAAAATGATCTCACTTGGTTTAAACAGTGAGGGGGTGTTGAATGATAGGCATTATCTTTTAAGAGTATGAATTCAAGGAGGACTCTACATGGAGGAGTAAGAGTCCTACTTGGATTGTGCCACACGGAACCTATAAAAGCTCACAAACATCACCTATGAAGAGGTAACACAACTTTGATTTCTGAATACACAGAGCTTTTGTCTACTCGTCTATTTTGCTGACTTAGGCATCGGAGGGGTTTCTGGCACACACCCGCCGGTTAGCTCACGTTTGTGTTTTCAGGGAGTAAAGCGACAACGTTTGGAGGAACGCAGACTTGATCAACAGGATTATACGAGAAGATTTATTTCTTTCCCGTACAATATAACTTTTGATCTATATGTCGGTTTTTAATAAAATTAGTATTTTTAGAATTTTCTCATCAAGATGTATCAAACAAGATCTATGTTGATTATAAAATTCTTAAAATAAAAAAAAAAATACCGTCAAAATTGACGTAAACAGTAACATGTTACTCTAATTCACAGTAACATTTTACTGTTACAAAAAAATAGTACATGCTAGGTGAATCAACTAAAAATACACATACACAATATTTTAAAACTTGTATAAAATAAAATAGGGTAAATTACACTGACACCCTCTAAGATTTCTATTTAATACAGATCTCTCCTCACATTTGAAAAATTCCACTTACCCCCTGTCAGATTAAAATGACATATTTGTCTTTTAACTTTTATACATATAAAATAATAAAATAATGTAAATATTTTGTTCATATTAATCATCTTCTCTAGTTTAACTCACACAAAAAATTGATTTTTTTTTTTACTGAATTTTTTAAATATTTTAAGTAATTTTTTATTTTTTAAATACACATAATCTAGATATACTAAAGAAGTATAACATTTTGTAATTTTTTTTTTAAATTCACCAATACAAAAAAGTACCCAAAAAAATATATATATAAATTCAATACATTATCTTATTTTGTTATCTTATTTTGTTATATTCAATCTATTTTTTTAAAAGTTTTTTGTACAAATTTTATACTTTTTAAATATATTTAGATGAAATTGATCTAATCTAGATATAATGGAGGAAATAAAAATGAAAAATTATATTCATATATGAAAAATTATATAAAAAATATCATAAAAATGTTGTGATAGTAATATTGTTTTAAATATAAATAATGTTTATAAGTGTTTTGTTTTAAAGTGATTAAGCTCTATGTAAAATTTATGTTTATATATCATCACTTAATAAGAATATGTTCAGGTAGAATTTAATGATGAAAAGTTGTACAATGTAGTTATGATAATAGGAAAAAGAAATAGTAGGAAAAAGGTAAAATGGTAATTTAAAAATTTTTAGAGTATGACATTAGCAATTCAAGAGGCAATTTGTAATAAGATTACAAATCTAAGAGAGAAGAATGTAATTTTTCAAATATAGGGGAGAATCTGTATTAAACAGAAATCTCAAGGGGTGTTAGTGTACTTTACCCAATAAAATAAAATGTTTCTCGTTAAAAGAGTTCTGTGATATATATATATATATATACGTATGGGTAATATTATCCAAGAAAAAAGAAATTTTACTTTTTTCTTATTCAATTATGTACCTCCTCGTTAAAGGTTTTATGAAGCAAAATAAATTGAGTAGTCCTTTTCACCAAACAATGGTCCAATTGAGAGATTTTAGCTAAATTTCTCTAAATTATATATACAATAAAATATCACAAACTAATCAAAGCGTGAAAAATCTTCCTGAAACTTTTTTAATATTTTTTTCATAAAACATAGTATTACCCATATAGATGATAAGCGTTTTTAATTTTTCATGAAACTAAACAAGTTTATGAAAGTCAAATCAAACATCAAGGTGGATTTTCCTCCATTCATAATCAGACCGGAGGATATTGTTTGGGCTCGTGAAATTTATCGCAAGTCCCGTTTCGATCATTTGAATTATTCATTTTGTTGATCACTTTGAGTATGTCATCCACACAAAAAATTAAATTGTTCCAATAATCGTAGTCTATTCAATTTATCATGTTTGTTACCAAAAAAATAGATGACAAATTTATTTATTTTTTTGGATGACAAACGCAATAAATTGAATATGTTACGATTATCGAATCGACTTAATTTTTTATGTAGATAAAATATACGAACTACCTAATAAAATAATTAGTTGATATTATCAAAATAAGACCTGTGATATGTCTCACAAATTGAAACAATAATCTCCAAACTAAAACCAGAGAGAATCTAACTCTATATATTATACTCCTTCCGTCCCAAAATAATAGTCTCCTTTGGGAAATTCAATTTTTTTTTTGTAGTACAATTATTGCACTTTAAAAAAATTAATTTTCTAAAATTACCCTTTGATAATACACTTTTTAGAGACTATCAATTGTCATAATTGTACTTTTTGTGTTGTTAATGAATTTAAAAGAATGACAAAATAAGATATTTATATTATTTTAATTCTTAATTTTTTAAAAGGAATTAATACTTTAAAATATTAAAAAAAATAAAAAAATAATATTTTAGAACAAAGAAATTATGATGTTTACTCACACTATACATGTCACCACCTCCAGTGAGATACATGATTATCTTACTTTAAAAAGGAAAAGGATTTTCCCCAATCCATGATATTGCGAGGGTGTTCTTAGGATCCGTAGAATCCACCACAATTTTTATTTTAATAATTTGTATCGTTTATTTTGTATATATTATTTATAATAATTTTAATTTATTACATTTATCATTAAAAAAATAATTTATTTTTTAAAACACAATTATTGTTATTTTTTTTTTTGATAATAAAAGTTGTAAATTGAAATGTTACGATTATTTAATTAACTTAATTTTTTATATAAATAAAATACACAAATATTTGACAAAATAAACCGCTCAAATTATTAAAACAGAACCTTAATAAATCCCAGAAGCTCAAATTATCTATCTCCAAAAAATAATAATAACCTGATCATGCATTCTCCTATTAATAAAATAGAACATCACGTCATTTGAATATTGAATAATTTTTAAGATAAATTACAAATACACTTTTTCAAGTTTACTTTAAATATGAATTGCTTCTTGTAATTTGAAAAATTATAAATATCCCATGTCAAAATTTTTTATTTAAGAGAATTAATTGAAAAAATAAAATTTCTAACTGTTCACTTATACAATAATAAAATTATCTAAATTATTAATTAAAATAAAATTTTAACATTATTAAAAATTATTAATTAACTTAATAATTTATTAATAAAAAGATATATTTGTTATGAAATTAAAAACGTTAAAGGCATAATATAATTTCTAGAATTACAGAAAATAATTTATGATTTAAGTAAACGTTAACCGGTGTATTTATAATTTATCCTAATTTTTATGTTTTGACTATTGAGGAAAAAAAATCTCATTCAACTCTCAATGAGACCCGTAAAATATAGGTCTACGTGTCATCATTCCTATCCGTTAGATCACATGCCGATCAAACGGCCAACAAATGATTTCAACTAACACACTCTTCCCCCAAGCTTCCCACCCAACACTCTTTGAGACCCTTTAGCCTCTATTTAAACAACCCAAAACCGTTGAACCACCCTCAGCAAATATACAATTTTATATTTGCCATAGACACACACACACACACACACAAACACAAACACATACACAGATTTCTCTCTCAATCTATTTTGTTTCGCAAAAACACACAAAACAGTTTCTATATTCCCTTTGTGTTTTTATGTTTCCAAAGTTCATATCTTCTTTCTTTTTTATCATAACTTCATAGAGCCTTTTTTGACTTTGAAAAATATGGAGAATGCTAATGAGAGCTTATGTGTCAATGACCCATTGAATTGGGGTTTGGCAGCTGAGTCATTGAAAGGTAGCCATTTGGATGAGGTGAAGAGAATGGTGAGGGAGTTTCGCCAGCCGGTGGTCCGGCTAGGCGGCGAGACCCTCACCATATCTCAGGTGGCGGCAGTGGCGGTAGGTGGTGGTGGGGTGGCAGTGGAGCTTTGCGAGTCGGCAAAGGCCGGTGTCATGGCCAGCAGTGATTGGGTAATGGAGAGTATGAATAAAGGGACAGATAGCTATGGGGTCACCACAGGGTTTGGTGCAACTTCACATAGGAGGACTAATCAAGGTGCTGCTCTTCAAAAAGAGCTCATTAGGTGAGATTAATCATTCTCTTAATTTATTTTTTTTAATGTTCTTTATTCGGATTAGCGGATCTTAATCGTAATTAGAGGTGATTTTGTATTTTACACCTGGAAGAGACATGGTCCAAATTTAGTCCATGGTGACTTTGATACAAAAATACTTTGGCTTACACCCATGAGATGGGTTGACCTCCATTTTTTATTTTTGTTTTTGTTTTTGTTGGGAGGCACTACGCAAAAGATGATTTCTTGTAGAGGTTTCACTTCATACTAGTAAAATAATTAAAGACATTTGACATGGCCAAATATGGAAACACTCCAAATTCCAATTGGGTTTTGCTAAATCATGATCAGAGATTACCTTATCTAGCAGCAAATTGGTGGATTCAAGTCTGTACTTTACAAATCTAGAAAAGGGTCATTCTTCTTAATTGGCTAGTTCATTGCACAGTGCAGCCAAATATAAATGCCTTGTTTCTTTGTGATATGATATGTTTTTTAAAATGTTGAGGAAGGAGAAAGTCTAGAGACACGTAATAAAATTACTTTTTCTGTGTTTTTTTTTTATTGTCTTTCTATTTTTGTAGCAAAGATGTAGATGTATGTACTTATAAGGATCTTGTTTGTAACAGATTTTTGAATGCTGGAATATTTGGGAATGGGACAGAGTCAAGCCACACATTGCCTCACTGTGCTACAAGGGCTGCCATGTTAGTCAGAATCAACACACTCCTTCAAGGCTACTCAGGCATCAGATTTGAGATATTAGAAGCCATCACAAACCTCCTCAACCACAACATCACTCCATGCTTGCCTCTCCGCGGCACGATCACCGCGTCGGGCGATTTAGTCCCCTTATCGTACATCGCTGGAGTCTTAACTGGCCGGACCAACTCCAAGTGTGTGGGGCCCAACGGAGAGGCCCTTGATGCCCGAGAAGCATTCTGCCTCGCGGGTATCAATGGCGGGTTTTTTGAATTACAGCCTAAAGAGGGCCTTGCAATGGTCAATGGCACAGCTGTTGGGTCTGGCTTGGCCTCTATGGTCCTTTTTGAGGCAAATGTATTGGCTGTTTTATCTGAAGTTTTATCAGCAATTTTCGCTGAAGTAATGCAAGGGAAAGACGAGTTCACTGACCATTTGACACATAAATTGAAGCACCACCCTGGCCAAATTGAAGCTGCAGCTATAATGGAACACATTTTAGATGGTAGTTCTTATGTTAAAGAAGCCAAAAAGCTACATGAAATGGACCCCCTTCAAAAGCCCAAGCAAGATCGATACGCTCTTCGTACTTCCCCTCAATGGTTAGGTCCACTGATTGAAGTCATTCGATCATCTACCAAGTCAATTGAGAGGGAGATCAATTCAGTGAACGATAACCCATTGATTGATGTGTCAAGAAACAAGGCCTTACATGGAGGGAATTTCCAAGGTACCCCAATAGGGGTCTCAATGGACAATACTAGATTGGCTTTAGCATCAATTGGGAAACTCATGTTTGCTCAATTTTCAGAGTTAGTTAATGACTTTTACAACAATGGGTTGCCATCAAATCTCTCTGGCGGACGCAATCCGAGCTTGGATTATGGGTTTAAGGGCTCGGAGATAGCCATGGCAGCCTATTGTTCCGAGCTCCAATTCTTAGCCAACCCTGTCACCAATCATGTCCAAAGTGCTGAACAACACAACCAGGATGTGAACTCTCTTGGATTGATCTCTTCAAGGAAAACCGCCGAAGCAATTGAGATCTTGAAGCTCATGTCATCAACATACTTAGTTGCACTTTGCCAAGCTATTGATTTGAGGCATTTGGAGGAGAATTTGAAGAGCACAGTTAAGAACACAGTGAGCCAAGTGGCTAAGAAAGTTCTCACAATGGGGATTGATGGGGAGCTTCACCCCTCAAGGTTTTGTGAGAGGGACTTGCTCAGAGTCGTTGATCGTGAGCACGTTTTTGCATACATTGATGATCCGTGTAGTGAAACATATCCATTGATGCTAAAATTGAGACGAGTTCTCGTTGATCATGCATTGATCAACAAAGATGATATTAAGAACGCGAACGCTTCTATCTTTTTAAAGATTGGTGCTTTTGAGGAAGAATTGAAGACCCTTTTGCCAAAAGAAGTAGAGAGCACGAGAAGTGCTTTGGAGAGTGGAAATCCTACAATTCCAAACCAGATCAAGGAATGCAGGTCGTACCCATTGTACAAGTTTGTGAGGGAGGAATTGGGGACTGGATTTTTGACAGGAGAGAGAATTAGATCACCCGGTGAGGAATTTGATAAGGTATTTTCTGCAATTTGTGAAGGAAAAATGATCGATCCACTGCTCGAATGTCTCAAGGATTGGAATGGTGCACCTCTTCCAATTTGTTAGACACTTTGGACATAAATTTGTTTACACACTTGATGTTATACTTCTGTCAGAAACTGTCTTTGGATTATAAAATGGGATTATAGCCCTTGTCTTTTGATATCAATCCGTTTTTCTCACCCTGTATTTTCCTGAAATTTTGTGCAGCAAAGATTTCTATTATACATATTTGCCTTCCTTTGTATTAACAAGAACTGAAGTTCTTTGAAAACTTCACATTTACAAGGTCATGACATTATAAAAACTTGTATGTCGTGTATGTATTATTTCAAAACAAGGGTAAATTACACTTTCAACCTTTATAATTAGATCAATTTTTCACTTCTGTTCTTATTATGTCAATTTAAACAATTTCATCTCCACTTTAAATGGAGTTTCAATTTGATTATCCTCTTCAGATTGAACACTAAAATTAAAGATTTTATAAAATGTGTAGCATACATGTAAGAGAAATTGACAGCAACTTGGATGAGAAGAACTAGAATGAAATTATATTTAAAATTTAAGGACCAAATTATTCAAATTAAAATAATAGGAACAAAGTGAAATTTAGATTAATTTATGCTAGAAACAAAGAAACCACCTGTAGCACTATATCATGAGGCAAAAGCGTTACTTCTAATAAAAAAGACATTTAAATAAAATGGATTGCTGCATCATATATGAAAACAAACCATATACAACACCAAATTTCAGAGTAAAGGGATGGGACTTTTTCTTGCCCTCTTCCCAGTCAGCCATTCAAAGAAACTCTCCACAACCGGTGCTTATAAGACCCCCAACTATATGCAAAAGATTACAACATTCATAACAAGTTAGTCATCATCAGATAAACAAACAATGTCAGTTGCTTCTACACCTGAAGGGGCCAAGTTAATCCTTCCACTATCTCCTTCACTACCTAATGCTCCGTCCAGTGCACCAAAAGTTGAAGAAAAATCAGGTAGAGGCGGCAAGAAGTTTGGTGGACATGCACCACGTTGATTATCAAAAGCAGCAAGCAAACCCATCGCAGATAGAGATGAGTTCTGAAGACCCAGTAACCCTCCTGTGAATTCAGGCCGCAAGTTCCTCTCATAATCACCATAGCGATGTGTAGGCGGCTGTGGTGGTGGTGGGGTAGGTGGTCTGGGTGGTGCTAGGGGAACCGCAAGAGAAGTTGTACGATGATTTCTTGGTATGTGTTGACTTGGCAACCCATGTGGAAGAGAGGAGATTGGAGACATGGATGAGGAAGGTCTAAAAGGTTGAAGGTGGGGAGCTGGGGCACGTATTTCACTAACAACTTGGAGATTTACAGTTGGAGGGGGCCCGGTTGGCATGCTTGAGAAAAGGACTGATGGGTGGTGCACAACCTGCACAGGCGGTGATGGGTGGTGCACTACCTGTGCCGGCGGTGATGGGTGGTGCACAACCTGCAAGGGCGGTGATGGGTGCTGCATAACCTGCACAGGCGGTGATGGGGGCTGCATAACCTGCATCGGTGGCAGTGGTGTCTGCTGGCTGGCGGCAGCTGGGACAACAGAAGACGAACCAGCAAGAAGGGAAGGCCCTGCTGCAGGCTGTGATGATAGCAGAGAGTGCATGAAATTTGAATTCGCAACTGCAAGGAAAAAGAAGTTTAGGCACTCAATCACAAGGAATGCAAAGGACTAGCATGTTCAATCATAGCAAATACAATGCGCGCGCATATAAATAACTAGATCATCTTAGCATATATGAAGGTAACAGATATTGGTCAGATATTAAATCAATAGGATTAATTTTACTAACATTGTAGTCATAAACATGGTTCTATGTAAACATCTGACATTTTAGAAGTAGAGAGGCACGGGCTTCCCGTTTACTAGTGTTAGGGACACCAATATTTGTGAAGTGTCCTAAAAGTATTGCAATTCTTCCTTCTTTCTTTGTTGCTCTTTTCTTTTCTTCTATTTTTTATTTTATTTTAATGGAACCACAAAAATATCATTCGAAACTCGTCTCATTTAAGTCAAGACATTACTTTTTCCAATTACTGATATTTCCATTGTAAATTCATATGGAAATATATTAGGTTAAAAGCAATGACATAAACCAACATACAACAGAAACCTAATGATTGAAAAAGGTCAGGTCAAGATAATTACATATTTACATACCTTGCTGCATTCCCATGGCCCCATAAGACCTGATGTCTGGGCACTTCAACCGGTAAGCCTCAGCCAACATTTTATTCATGAGAACTTTCTGGTGATTTGTATCAAGCTCCTTTTTTTTCAATAAAAATGCTGCTTCAGCAGCATGAAGTATAGCTTCATGCTTCCGACAAATTTCAGCAATAATTTCCTCTATCTCCTTCTCACAATCGGATTTCAGCTGCTGCTTCTGCTCAGAAAAAAGCCAGTAGTAGGTGGTGAAAAAAGCTAAAAGCTAACCTTACTCAAAAGAAGTGACCAAGATTAAGAAAACCAGACACTAACCGTATCTTCATAGACCTTCATTGCTTGATCTGCTTCTTTACGTAACCTTTCCAATTCGTTTTGAAGTGGATCAGGATATGAAGGATGAGCTGGCATCCGAGAGGCCATTTGGTGTGGACCAAATGGAAGATGTGTTTCAAATCCACCAAGAGCATCAATTGGAGAAGGCATGCCCAAATGTGTGCCAGGAACAACTTGACTTTGAAGCCCCACAGTATCCTCAACCAGTTGTGATGAAGCCTCAGCAATTTGAGAAGCCTCCATATTAAAAGAAGTGATGTGCCCTTCACTACGAGGTTGTTCAACTCCAGAAGCTGAACCTATATTAAGTTGATTCTCATCAACACATAAATCAGCAGATGGTGACAGCTGTAGTAGCTCGAGATGCTCAATCACCACTGATTCATGATTAGTTTGATCAGCCGGTCCGGCACCAGTGGGAACATTTTGATATCCACTAACTCGTGCATCTATATCATGTAGTCCAGTAGACGTTGATAACTGAGCAAATTTATCCTGGCATGTAAGATGACAGCATTGAGAATCTGACCGCTGATTCATTTCACTTTAGCATTCCATTAGCAGGAAAATTAAACAAAACAAAGACGGGATTTATTGCAGACTCACCCTTTGGATTTTCCAAAATCAATGTGACCTCCATGATGGGGATCGGAAAGGAATTGGATGAACATAAATTGAAGAATATAGAAATTTTAATATAATTACGAATTAGGGTATAATAGAATTTTAGAGAAATTACCAAAAATAAAAATAAAAATACTAAGGTTCAGACCTTCGTACCAAATCAAACCCCGAGTTTTTAATTTCCTCAATTTAAACCTTGAACTTTTAAAATGGTCACAATTGAAACCCAAAATCAATCTCTGCAGATAGGACAATGACCGGAGTACAATACAAAATGAAATGAACACGATGGTTGGCGATCGGAGTACAGCACAAAGATTGGAGATCGCAGATCGCACTACGTCGATTTCAGATACAAAGAAGGGGGCACTGGGGGAAAGACGTGATGGGAGGAGAGGACTGCTGCAGGAAAGACACGATGGGGTAGGAGGTGAAGGGAGATGGGAAGCACTGAAGAAGTGTGGCTGCTGAGAGGGAGGCAAAAGGGGATGGAGGGCGCTGGCAGATTGGGGTGACAAGGATGGGCGACGCTGGAGAAGGGAGGCGATGGGAATGGGGGTGGCGCTGGTAGAAAAGGGCTGAAGAAGGGTAGCAAGTGGTTGGCTGCCCGTTGAAGAAATGATGAGTAGGAGGGCAATGAAAAGAAACAAGAGTTGGAGAAAAGCACAAGGGCTAGAGCACCATTCAATTGCTGCGGACAAGACAGAAAAGCCTAGAGCAATGACAAGTTGTAATATGTATATATATGTATTATTGTATGTACATATATATGTAATATATACCATGAATAAAAATGTTAGTAAATAGAAAAAATATTTTCTACTGTTACTTTTATAATGGAAATGAATGGAAGGTTTCAATTGTGATACTGCATGAATTTTATTATACTCATTTTGATATATAAAAATTAAAAGTTTTTATTACTGTTTCACTATTGGCTTAACTCTTCTTCCTCCAGTTCTCCTTATTCTCCTTCTCCTCCCTTCGGTTCAACATCAATAATGTAATCGGGATTGAGATAATACTTCACTGATCACATACCATCTAAGTTGAGCAAGTGTTGCACGAGTGTGAGCTATGCCTCTTAAAGTACTTTTATTATCACAACCCTCTGGGGAGAAGAGATGGGGATCGGAGAGGAACTGGATGAAGAAAAATTTAAGAAAATAGGAATTTTAATATAAATAGGAATTATGGTTTTAATAGGATTTTGTTTCTTTATTAACTAGTTTCCTAATTCCTTTTTGTTTCCCAATTAGATAATGCTCATGCCTGCTGCATACAAGGCTTGAGTGTATTGATTTTATTAGACTGATTTGGATATTTGAAAATTGGAACCTTTTGACTATTGTTTATCTATTGGCCAAATTCTCCCTCATCTTATCCTTATTCTTCTTCTTCTCCTCCCTTCGGTTCCACACCATAATGTACTACAAGAGTAATATGATGAAGAAAGTATCCAGGAGAAAACAAAAAAAATATTATTTTTCCATATTTTCATAAAGACACTAGCAAGATGATGATAAAATAAGTTCGTCAAATAGAAATAGTCAAAGCAAAGGAATTATATACCAAATTTTGTGGAGACATGCCAGCTTGAGCTGGAGTAATAACTGGCTGCACCAAAGGAGCTCTTAACACAGACTGCTCCACGGAAAGTGAGTCACCATTGATGGAGCTACCAGCTGCCTCATTTTGGTTTGTGCTAGCATCCAGGACTGACGTGTCTAAGCCATCTCTATCGGACTCTACATCAAGATTTACAAATTCGACAGAGTCAGCAGCGCCCACCAATTCATTCATAGCACTTTCAGGCACTTCTTGTGCACTTGATGGAGCTCCATCAATAATCCGAACCTTAGAAGGTGGGTTCGCGAAGACATTGTTCTCAGGAGTATCAGCAGAACTGGTCAAGTTGGAGAGCTTCTCAAATCCAGTAATTGATGCTTCGGCCATAGAATCCACTGCATCAGTTTCATGATTTGGATGCAATGGAAGGGTTGGAGTTTCAATGGTGACACCACATCCTACTGTTTCACTGGCAGCAGTAGTAGGGATATCAGATGGTGTCACCTCACTAGCTTGCATTCCGTTAGGACTTTGTTCATCTACAAGGCAACCAGAGATAGAGGCATTGTTCCTACGGTCATTATGAACTCTATGTTCAATGGTACCTCCAAATTCAAATCCATTCAAAGGCAGCTCACCTGATAGTTCAGCTTGTGCCTGGGACTTAACTATTTCCAGCCAACGAGCTGCATTTTTCCTCTCCACATTCCTTTCAGCCAACTGCTTTGCCTCAAGATCTTTAAGGCGTGTCTCCTTTTGGCGCTTGTGTTCTTCCCTTTTCTTCGCAAATTCATCATCTAATATCTTGAGCTTTTCCAGCCTCACTGGAATATCACTGTGTATGGAGTAAACAAGAGTTGTCTCCCAATTGTGCTGTTTCTCTATTTCAACTCTCCCTAACTCCCAAAGTTTGTAGAACTCCTGAATTTGCACCTGTTGCTTTCTAATGAGCTTTGTCATCTGCTTTTCACACTTTTTCTGAATAAGCTTGATTCTTTTTGATATTTCTTTCCCCTCTATCTTATGTTTCGGTGCCTGTACCTGTTCCGAAAGGAGCCGAACCTCGGCAAATTCTTGGTTCTTTAATCTCTCTTCATTCTCAACTTTTACATTTTGCCGACTGAATACTGCCGATTGAGATATTCTTGCATCTAGTAGCTCTTTCATAATGTCCTCAGCTGATAGAGAATCTTTTGATGACTCAGAGTCCTCAAAATTCTCTACACGGAGTAAGAACATTTTCTTCAGCAGCCGCAATTTTGAATACACATTGTTTGCCTCATCCTCAGTGCATCCAAAATTCAAATGTTGCTTCGCTAATAAAAGTGATTCCTTCTTGTCAATTTTGTTTTTCAGCAATGAAGCAGCAATCCAACACTGACATGTCACAGGGCAAAAGTCAAAGATGGGGGGGGGGGCCTGGAAGACAAACATATTTACATAGAAAAACATATTCATATTGCTTTTTGGGCAGGGAGAGTGGGGAAGAGAATGGGAAGCCAGAAAAATGGAAGAGATGAAAATAAGTATCAGTAGTTTTAATACATATTTTCTAGAATTTTCAACACACCATGGTATAAATATACAATTGACTGATTAGAGTCAAGTTAGATCCAGTGCTGATGAGATCCGACTCTTAATCTACATTTTGTCTTATATAGATGGACATATACATCTAGGAGTATGGACGGTAAAATATATAAAGTTAGTACAAGTATTAAATCATGTTTATAAATTAAACAAAAAATATCCACAACAATCTTTTTAAATGGATTCTGAATTTTACATCATAATCAGCATGGGATTAGTTGAAAAAGAGGCACAATGTACCTTTATGGTTACTAAATTTGGATAAAGCAAAAAATAAAATGAATACGTCTTCATGAACATAAAAACAGTTTGACATAGTATGATGGTACTAATAGAGAATAGAAACTAACCAGAGATATCTCGAAAGCCTGTAATATAGTTGCCGGCTCCCTATTGACGTGATGATTATCAATAACGTATTTAAGAAACTTTCCAACCATAACCTTGATATCTTCCTGCGCTTACAATCAAAAGCACAAAATTAGAAAGTACAATTTCCCATGTGCAAGTGCAACACATCATCGCCACCACTCTCTACATGTGCTAGGAGATCAACAATACATTTTCAAACAGAAATATGTTAATGTGCCTGCTTTGCCAATTTGTTGGTTTCTTTTTCATTTCTTGGATGTCACCATGTATTTGTCAACATTGAAATGTAAATGCAAAATATCTTGCATTTGTAATATATTTACCCACTTTACTTGGTCCATAGAATGAATTTATTAAGTTGAAAATAGGAGTGACTTTGAGAGAGTATACTATTATAGTCGGGTGTGAATGTATTAAACAATGTCCAAAAAAGTTGGGCTTTCCAAAATGGACTGACAACAAGGGACAAAGGAAGTAGCAGCACAACTGCTGCTAGATCCACGAAAAATGCATTTTTACTGTAGCAAAACAACATGCAAAATTGACCCCAAAAAAGTAAACCAAACCAAGCCTTTAAGTCCCATCAAATGGGGTAGGCTACATGAATCCTTCTCCACTAGACTCTATCCAAGGCCATTTCGTTAGTCAAATTAAGGAGGTTCATATTTCTATTTACTACACTAGCCCACGTCAATCAAAGTCTGTCCTTTCCCCTACACTTCAATCTACCATCATTGTCTCGCATCTCTTTATTACTGTCTCTGTTGGTCTCCATTGTATACGACCAAACCATCTCAATCTATTCTCTCTCAATTTATCTTTTATCGGTACTACTCCTACCCATTCTCGAATATACTCATTCATAACTCTATCTCTTCTACTCTTGTCACACATCCATCTTAGCATCCTCATCTTAACAACACTCATCTTATCTACATGTTGTTTATTAGTTGCCCAACATTCCGACACATATAACATCCCTGGTCTAATAACTGTTCTATAGAACTTCCCTTTTAGTCTAGTTGGTACTCGTTTATCACATAGTACCACAAACGCATTCCGCCACTTAAACCACCCCACCGTAATTCCATGGAACACATTTGCTCCAATCTCCCCAACCATTGTGATAATCAATCATAAATAACAAAAATGTTCACTCTTAGTTAATTTTTTGTGTAAGTTTTCTGAATGAATTTGTATATTCAATTATAAATAATACAAAGAGTACAACCAAGTTATATAGACCTAATCTAAAAAAAGAAATAAGAATAAACCTATATTCTTACAATCAATCTAATATATTTACATAATTAGCATAATATTCTCACACCCCCACTCAAACTCAAGGTGTTTTAGCAAAAAACATTAAGAGTTTGCCAAGAAAGAACTGAAAACGAGTAGTGGTGTGAGTCTTGGTAAAGAAGTCAGCAAGTTAAAGTGCCGAAAAGGCGAAAGAAAGCGAGATGGAACCAGACTGCAGATGTTGACGAACAAAATGACAATCAATCTCAATGTGCTTCGTTTGCTCATGAAAGACAGTGTTATGGGCAATCTGAATAGCACTGCGATCAAGGTTCTGAAAAGCGGTTGCGGTCGCCGTAACGGTGGCGGTGGCTGTGGCGCGGTTGCGGTTGCGGGGTGTAAAGGCCATAATGTAACGGTTGCGGTAACCGGAACCGTGAATTTTTTTATTTTTCGCACAATTTGAAAAAAACTTACCAATACGCATATTTTTTTTTTATGATCATATTTATTGGGTTAAAAATAAATATTGATCAATTTTTATAAATTTTTAAGTATGATCCAATATATTTTATATTTTGAAATCACTATAAACTGAGTTTTTTACATTTTATTTTAATAATTAATAACTTTATATTATACAAAAAATCAATCACTAACTATTATATATATAAGATAAACAATGATAAAAGTAAGAGAATAAATAAGAGCCTAAATATATATATATACATATTTTAACCACGCCAAATAGATAATGACCACACTTATTATTATTATTATTTTCAAATAATATATAAATAGACACACAAACAAAATGGTTGAGTAATAGCAGCTGAATAGAATAGCATAGGCCTTACAGCTTCAACAAATCAATAACATGTTCTTCATCTTCCCTCTTTTCTCTCTCTATCTCTTACTCCTCCATTTTCTCTCTTTATCTTCCCTCTTCTCTCTATCCCTCTTCCTCCATTTTCAGTTTTTTTTTGTGTGTTTTTTCGAAAGAAACAGTTTGGAACCGTTACGTAACGGTGCATAACAAGCCGTTACGGCTGTTACGGCGCCGTTGCGACCGCTATGGCCGACACACCTGTGAATCTCAATCACACTGCAAAAGCGGCCGTAATGGGTGGCGGTAACCGCCAAGACCGTTACGTAACGGCGTTACGTAACGGTTGCAGCCGCTTTTTAAAACCTTGACTGCGATTGTCACAGTAAAGAAAGGTCGGAGAAGGCTGAGGTACATCCAAATCAAATACAAGACAACGAAGCCAAACAATTTCAATAGTGGCATGAGCTATAGCACGGTATTCAACCTCGATAGTGGAACGTGCAACAACAGTCTGTTTCTTGCTCTTCCAAGAAATCAAGGAATCACCAAAAAATATGCAGAAGCCACAAGTAGAATTGCAATCAGTAACATCACCAGCCCAATCAGAATCATTATAGGCCACCAAATCCAAAGAGAAAGTGAAGGACAACAGTAAGCCCCATTGTTGTGAAAAGCGAGCCTAACCGCAAGGCGCAGTGAGGCGCACCCATTGTGCCTAAAGGGTACCCAAGTGAGGCGCGTTTGAAGAGTTGCGCGCCTTGGACGCGACTTGGACCAGGAGCAGGGAAGCGCAAGGCGCGAGCCTAAGGGGATTTTTTTTTTTTTTCTTCTTGAATCTGATCTAACGGATGGACACAGAATTTGGACACGACAGCGAGAAGAGTACACGAAAGAGAAGAAGAGTAAAGGAGAACAAAGGAAAGAGAAGAGTAAAGGAGAACAAACCTGGTCAGCGACAACTTCGACAACCTCCCTTCGACTTTGCCGACTTCTTCTCGATTTCAACGACTTCCCGTCAACTTCGATCGCTCTCTCTATCTCTCTCGCCTTCGCCTCTCTCTAGCTTGCGATCTCTCTCTCTCTTCTCTCTTTCTCTCTCTTGGCTTCTCTCTGTCTTATCTAGCCTCTGTTTGGTTCTTATCTTAATATGTATATGTATTAGTATATATACATATATAAGTATAAAATAATTTTACCTATATCTTATATAATATATATTTATACATATTAATAAAAAAACACAAATACATATACGTAAAATAAAAATAAAAAAATTAACAAGAACATATTATTTAAAAAATATAATAAATAAATGATTAACAAGAACATATTATTTAAAAAAAATTGTCTTAGTACTATGAATGATTAGTCTATGTTAATTTATCTATCTTTTACTAAGAACCTTCAGCACCTTGAGCCTTTAAAAACACTCGTAAGCCCTAAAATATAACACCACGGAGATAGCAAAAACTGCGAATCAAAACAGCCCAATGTGTAGAACGAAGAGCAGAAACGAACTCTGTAACCACATGAACAACATAGGCAAGATCGGGGCGAGTGACAATCAGATAGACTAAGCAACCCACAAGCTTTCGATATAACACTGGTAAGCCCTGAAATATAATACCACGGAGATAGCGAAGATTACGAATCAAAACAACCCAATTTGTAGAACGAAGAGCAGAAACGAACTCGGTAACCACATGAACAGCATAGGCAAGATCAGGGCGAGTGACAATCAGATAGACTAAGCAACCCACAAACTCTCGATATAAAGTAGGATCATTGAGAGGGATACCATCAGTAGTGTTAAGCTTCACATTAAGCTCAATGGGGGTATCAAAAATCTTAGTGTCAGTAAGACCAGCACGGTAAATAACCTCATTAGCATACTTAGCCTGAGACAGAAAGTAGTCTTTAGGAGAAGAAACTACCTCAATACCAAGAAAATACCGTAAGGGGCCTAGATCCTTCATTTCGAAGGTGCGAAAGAGATATTGCTTAATCTCAAATATAGCAAAAGAGTCAGAGCCAGTGATAATCATATCATCCACATACAATAATAGGGCAACAAAACTAGCAAAAGTGTAAAGGAGAAACAAAGCAAAATTCTAGGCACAAGGATGAAACCAAAGCCGAGTGACAGCGATCATACCAAGCATGGAAGGATTACTTCAAACCATACAGAGCGCGCCGAAGACGACAAACCTGTCTAGAGGAATGGAGAAGGCTAGAGGGAGGATGCACGTAAATCTCCTTAGTGAGATAGCCATTAAGAAAAGCATTCTTAACATCCATCTAATAAAGAGGCCAATAACGAGCAGCTACAACAAAAATCAAAGTATGGACAATAGTCATCTTGGCAGCAAGGGCAAAGGTCTCCTCATAATCAATACCATACTCTTGTGAGAAACCTTTTGGCAACCAGGCGAGCCATGTAACGCTCAAAAGAACCACCAGAATGAGTCTTGACTTTATAAACCCATTTATAACCAACCATATTTTTGGCAACAGGCAACGGAACTAGCTCCCAAGTAATAGTCTTCTGCAAAGCAAACAACTCATCCTCCAACCCAATTAAGATCCTGACAGGTCTCCTTATAAGGCTGAAGTTCTGAATAAGAGTGAATAGCAGACAAAAAAATGCAATATTAAGGAGAAAAACACGTTTTAATAAAACCCACTTTAACTACCTGTTTACTGATAAGAAGAGGATACTTACGGTTAGCAAGATCAGAGTCGTCAAAAGTAGGGAGATCAACAGTAGGGGCAGAGACAACTGGTGGAAGGAGAGCCTTGTGACGATAATAGACTAACAACGGAGGAGGAGAAGGAGAAGGAGGAGGAGGAGAGGGAACAGACTCGTGGGGTCAGTGGAGAGGGACTCATTAGGCCAGGTGGACGAGAAGAAGAAGGAACAAGCTCATGGGAAACAGCAGACATGTACACATCAAAAGAGACCTCAGAAAGAAATGGATCAATATGAATTAAATCTTCTTTGGAAACTGAGACTGTGAGAGGAATAAGCTGAAAGTAAAGTAGACGTTCAAGAAAGACAACATGGCAGGAAACATATAGGCGACGGGAAACGGGGTCGTACTAGCAATAACCTTTCTGAGTGAGACTGTAACTCAAAAAGACACACAAGATACACCGGGCACTCAATTTGGTCCTATCTTTATGAGGTAGAAGGACAAACCAAGCAGACCCAAACATACGAAGGGGGGTGTAATTGGGAAGTTGAGAAAAGAGAGCCTCATAAGGAGACGGACTAGAGAAAAGGGGAGTGGGCATACAGTTAAGAAGAAAAGCAACCATAAGAACTGTCTCACCCCAAAACAGAGTCGAAACAGATGCAGAGAAGAGAGACCTAGCTGTTTCAAGGAGATACGCTCAACTCAACCATTTTGGGCAGGTGTATTAGTACAAGAAGTCTAGTGAACAGTACCCAAATTGGCCAAATAATCACAAAACTCAATTTTAAAATATTCTCCACCCAAGTCAGACCATAACAATTTAATAGTAGACCCCAACTGTGTAGTGACCATAGGCTGAAAAGTACGGTATATCTGGTATATGTTGGACTTATGAGTCATAAGATAAACTCAAGTGTAACGGGTGCAGTCATCAACAAATGACACATAGTATACAGAATCCCCTTTAGTGAGAACAGGAGAAGGACCCCAGACATCAATATGAACTAAAGAAAACGGTGTATCAAATATATAAGTACTTTTATGGAAAAGTAAGGCTGTCATTTTGGCAAGTTGGCACCCCCGACACTCGTTAAGTTGACTAAGAGAAACTTTATCCAATATACTTGGCTAAACTAAAGACAGTAGGCAGTCAGCAGGCAAACGCCCTAATCTGAAATGCTACAAATAGAAAGGACTTGACAGAGAATCTAACTGAAAAAAGGAAAAGGTAGTCGGAGAGGTAGTCATAGGCAGATGCAAGCTCTCCACCACATAGAGGTCTCAAACTCTACAGCTAAATTTCAATCTGCTGCTTAGACATCCAATCCTGTATAGAACAGATAAAAGAAGAAAAGATAACATCAAAACCGGAGACATCAAGTTGACTGATAGATAATAAACTAACAAACAACTGAAGAACATATAACACAGATGGTATAGAGACAACAGACATAGAAGACGGTAGAACAAACCCAACAGATATAACAGACATACTAGATCCATTAGCAGTACTAACAGTAATAGGAAAGAGAGGGGGAGTACAATTCTGAAATAAGGAGAGATGAGGAGTCATATGATGAAAGGCACCCGAGTCAAAAATCCAGACAAACGAAGAAATACCTGAAGAAGACCCAAGCAAACCTGAATGAAAAAAGGAAAAAATGGAAGCAAACGAAAATGGCTGGGAAGTAGACTGTATATGCTGAAACTGATTAATCTGAGCAATCAAGGACGCTAAATCAGGATCAGGAGCCAGAATAGATGTAATATAAGTGGCTAAAGTCGGAAAAGTACTCTAAGAAGGAGTATGAAACTAAGTTCGAGACTGCTAAAAAGGCAATACAGACTGACTAACATCCCTTCTTGGGACAATAATACTTCCACTGCCTCGCTCATGGCAGAAGGCACACTCATCAAAAGCCAAACACATCGTAATAATTACAGAGATTGGGCATTCAAGTGTAATAAATCCAAAATAAAGCAAAATAGTCAAACCAGAGGTCAAAGGATGATAAATAGACAATTGAGGAGTTTAAGTGTAATAAATCCAAAATATAACAAAAATAGAGTGAACGTCATTGAACCAGAGATCAAAGTCACGAACTAAGAGAGACTGAAGAAGAACCAAAGAGAGAAGATCAGTTATCGAAGCACAGTGACCACGTCGAACAGACGGGTCGATTAGATGGGTCACCCAAGACGACCAGACAGAGGAGACGAACCTCGTCGGAGAAGTGATCAGCTATTGTCGGCGAGATGAGAAAGAAGGAACAAACCTTCGCACAAGGCACGAGAGAGGCAGAGACAGACGACCAGAGTCCTCTCGACTCAAATGAGTTGCGATGAGGGTCTTCGCAACTCAGACAGGTTATGATGATGGATCACAACCTGCACCCAGATGTGTCGCAATGAAACAGACGAGTCAAGAACCCAAAGAACCAGAGAGAGGAGAACTAGGTTCTCAAATCAAATGACCTTCGATGAACTAGATGGGTCTTGCAAGCCTAATGAAGTAGAGGCCTGACTTGATGTTAACTAGAGAGTTCGATCAAGTTCAAAGAACAAAGTTGAACTAGAAATTAGAACCAGAGAGGATTTCAGGATGGCTGCTAGGGTTTGAAAACTAGCTCTGATACCATGTAAGTTTTCTGAATGAATTTGTATATTCAATTATAAATAATACAAAAAGTACAACCGAGTTATATAGATCTAATCTAAAAAAGGAAATAAGACTAAACCTATATTCTTACAATAAATCTAATATTCACACAATCAATCTAATATATTTACATAATTAGCATAATATTCTCACACTTGATTCTCAATATTCACTTCTCCTCTACTTTCATTGTTACTGTTATAAAAATTACACTCTTGTACTCTATCTTAGTTCTGCTTATTCTAAATCATTTAGATTCAAATGCTTCTCTCCAAGTCTCCAACTTAATGCTAACTCTTTCTCTAGTCTCATCCACTAACACGATATCATCTGCAAAAAACATACACAATGGCACATCATCCTGAATATTTCTCATCAACTCATCCATAACTAAAGCAAAAAGATAAGGACTTAAGGTTAATCCTTGGTGTAACCCTACAGTAATTGAAAATTTACTTGTCTCTCCAACAGGCGATTTAATAATGGTCACCACACCTTCATACATATCCCTTATCACATCAATGTAACCTTTTGTCACTCCTTTCTTTTCTAACACCCATCACATTATATCCTGAAACACTCAATCATATACTTTTTCAAGATCGATCCATATGAATGTCTCTTTTCTTTCTCTATACTTTTCTATTACTCTCCTCCAAAGATATATCGCTTCCATTGTTGACCTACCATGCATAAACTCAAATTGATTCGCTGACACCTCTGTTATATCTCGCAATCGACGTTTCATCACTCTCTCTCACACTTTCATTATATAAAACATTACCTTGACCCCAGAAAAGTAGAAAAGAAGATTTTAAAAAAACATAAAATTTTAAAAAACAATAGTTTTTCCTTTTTAGACATACCTTATGTTTGATTTCACAAATTTTCTTTCCATGTATAGCAAGATACATGTCACAACAATAGCGAATTGCATTTGGGGGCAAATAAAAAGAGTCTTAATGAGTAAAAATATGAGATACATACTGAAAGTTGTAGAATTTCACAGAGTTTTGAAATCTCAGGTTTCAGAAGAACATGAAGACTTTTCTGCACATCACGCAATCGTACTCCCTCCTCAGGCTCAACCATTTCAACTTCAGGTAACGATGAGATACCATTAGAGGGAAAGGGTGAGGTGGAAGCATGGTTTGTATTTAGTGCACCAGTTACACAAGCAGTTAACCTAGGCAGAAGTTGAGAAGCACTACCAGTTGGAACTCCAGATCCTCCTGCAGTATGATGAGAAGTCATCAGAAAGCTTAAAACACGAGTATCAGAATGATTATAAAATTTCCTTAAAAAATTTAACCTTCAATGCACTAGGGCAATTTTTGGAGAAAAAATGAATGATCATCACAATTTGGATATTTAAATAATATCTGTCATTTACCTCCCCCGTCTCCTGGAAGTTCACTTTCCTTGAGTCTGGGACTCAGAGAAGCTGGATCAGCATTATTGTTCACCACCATCTTGCGTTTCTTTCCAACTTCATCAGCTTCAACTACTGGTTTCTCTGGTATGTCCTTATAATACTGGACTCTTTTCCTGTTCCTCTGTGCTGGGCCAGATGAATGTATCCACTGAGGATTCCTTCCATCCAACAGCTTTGTCCAAAAAACCTGGGGTTCATCTCCATCTGTCAACTGAATTGTTAGCTCACCAAGCAATGAAACATCCTTACTGTAAATTCCCCCAGAGTGTTGAACTTTTATAATGAAAGAGTTATTTGTATATGTATTTTCACCATCGTGACAAAGTAGAGCCATGAACTCCTTGGCTACATCTCTGAGAAGTGATGGCTCAGAAGAAATATTTGCACCAGTGGTTGAGATAGTACCATCATGAAACTCGTCCAATTTATTGAATAAACATGAGGCCCCCCACATTAGCAGCATGTGCATCATACTGCAACTTATCCTCCGTAAATTGCTATCAAGAGTTGTACCATGTGTAGCAAGGACTAAAACTTTTTCTTCCACAGTACCAGATGAATATAAACGGAATATTTTAATCTGTTCAAAAGACGAATCAATTGATAATCTGTGTAGCGCTTTTAAATCATTTGCTGGGTTCCAATCACTATCAAATATGACTATCGTATCCACAGACGACAATTTGATGCTATTCTGACAAGCACGGTTTTCTAATAAAAACACAAATCTCCCACTACTCTTGTCATTGAACCTGTTCAGAGCAGCCTGTTTCTTTGGCGGGAGAGTACCCACCTCAACATGTTCATAGGAATCTCGACCAAATCTCTGACTTAGAAAGTCATCCAATATCTCCCCAATTGAATTCCTTCCAGAAAAAATTGGCTGTCCACAAAAATGAACCAATGAAAAACAAATAATAACCAAAACAACATTTATTTGTCCTGTGCAGACAAAGTGCGTGTGCACATGAATGATTTATTTAGAGAGAGGGAGTTACTAAGAGAAACATGTAGAGCAAATAATTTACACAAAAAACATAACCACTAAGTGGCAAGTAAAGCATATCCAGATGCCAAGTTATAATTTGAACCATATCCAGATGCCAAGTTATAATTTGAACCATATCCAGATGCCAAGTTATAATTTGAACCGACAACAATGATCATGGTAAAGTTAGACACAAAAGAAATTTTGAATAGACAAACAGCCTGAAAGTTGGTAATAGATATCATGGAAATAGCTTAAAAAATAAAGAACTCAAGGACACAAAGGAGAGGGAAGGGAGATTTGTAGATATGCAGATAGCATCATATGCTTCACTTAGGGAAATATTTGCAAAACAAATATCAACCACAGTGAGAATTGATGATCACCGGAACAATCGTATTGGCCAACTAACAAGGGCAAAACACTTAGGGGTCTGACGCTCACATAAAGCTTAAAGGTCCGTTTGCAGAATAGATAAATCATCAATCAACTATCCATTTTTCCCAGTAATTAAAGATCACATCAGCTAAACAAGAGGACAGTGATAAACAACAAAAATGATTCAAAATAGTACAGCTTAATTAACATAGTATAGTACCACAAAAAAACTTAAGTCCTCAGAAGTTTAGATTATAGTGATCAGACCATGTACCTGAAAAAGAATTACTACTCTTAGTCCTCGATTTTTAATCTCTGAGAGTATTTTGTCAAGAAGTTGTAACTTGCCACTTGCTTTTATATCCACATCCAAATACTCTACCACTGGGAGACCTTTGTTTAAGAAGCCTTTTAAAGATGGATCCACAATGTACGGGTGATCACAGCACTACCAAAAAAAGAACCATATAATCATTGTCTCCAAAAGTTGATTATGCATAGCTATTCAATTGCAACTAACATTAAACTAATTAAACTCCGTTCTAATAGAAAAGGAAATTCAAACAAATTAACAGAACTTTAAGTAGCTGCAGGTAATGAAGATTTTATTATTTTATTTTATCAAAAATGAAGATATCAGAAACCAAATTATTAAAAATGAATTGATGCTATATAAATATCTATCTTTTTTCTTTTGTTTGGAGAAAGGGATATAGAGAAGGACCATGCACACACGAGGGAGGGGGCAGGATAATGGAGATGAGGATGGATGAGGAGAGCGGACCTAAAATTTTATGCAGTTAATCAAATAATATACATTTAAAAAAGTTTATTAATTCAATAATATACATTTACGAAGCACTGACACTCCATTTTAGTCATCATTATAGTGTCTGACATGTGTCAAACACAAACACACGTTGGACATGCCGGGCACATGTCAGACATGCCACATGTTGTGTCAATTTTGTTTTCCACAACACACGTCAGGGGTCACATCAAGGGCACAAGTGTATTGTGACTGAACATGACATAGGATACGTTTGGGGTTTTATATTAATTTTAGAAAGGTAGTTTGGTGGTCAAAGTATAGTATGTGTAAAGAAACGAGTGCAAATTGAAAAAGACAAAAACAAAAATCAAAACTTCCCCTAAAACGTTCGATCTTTGGTGTCTCAAATTTGTACCCTAAAATTCAGTTGAGAGAGGTAGAGAGTATATCTCCGCAAAAATCAATTTGCCATCTCATCTTCCTATTATCTTAATCCATTTGCACGAGTTCTATGGAATTTTTTTGGGAAAAATTTTGTTAAATGTTAACACCATAGTGTTAGTCCCTAAACAAAGTACCAGAGATTTATGTATTTTTTATGGATGCTCTTAGGGCTGCAAACGAACCGAGCCGAGCTTTGCTGAGCTCGAGCTCGGCTCGTTTACTTATCGAGCTCGTTTATTGAGCTCGAGCTCAGCTCGATAAGGAACTGGGCTCGAGCTCAGCTCAGCTCGACTCGATAAATTTTTTTAATATTATTTATATTATTTAAATATAAATATTTAAATAAAAAATATTATTTATATTATTTAATTTATAAAAAATGTATTTATATTATCATTTATATATATATATATATATTTATATATTTTTAATATATAAATAATGTATTTATATATTTTTTAAATAATGTATTTATATATATATATATTTTTAATATTATTTATATTATTTAAATATAAATATTTAAATAAAAAAAAATTATTTATATTATTTAATATATAAAAAATGTATTTATATTATTATTTTTATATATTTTTAATATATAAATAATGTATTTATATATTTTTATATATTATTTAATATATAAATAATATATTTATTATATAATTTAAATAAAGATAAACGAGCCGAGCTTATGCGAGCTCGAGCTCAACTCGTTTACTAAACGAACCGAGCCCTTAACAAGCCGAGCTTGTTCATTTGCAGCCCTAGATGCTCTATTCATTATTGATTTTAATTCTTTGACATAGTCTATGGTTTGATGAAATAGTAATTTGTATGTTGAATGATGTTTAAATTATAGATTGAGCAATTTTTTCATGTTGAATTAGTGTTAATTTTTCATTATTTTTAGTCATTGGTAAATAAAAATTAGCAAATAAAAGGATAGAGAAAGATATATCTTCTGTCATATTCTCGCTATATTCGTATCCTAATTTTTTTAAAATAGTTGTGTCCCTTCTTTGTGTCCGTGTCCGTATTCGTGCTTCTTAGATAAACATATAAATTGAAAAAAAAAAAACAAAAGAGCATAGATATACATTCAAGCACGATCACCCAAAAGGAAGAAAGATTCTCCAAACACAATATAATGATGCAACCAAGACTAGAAGTACGTAGGAACCAAACCTTCCGTGTAGAAATAAGAATATCATGAAGAACACCAAAAGGATCATTCCTCAAACAAGAGCGCAGAGACATAGAATTTGAAAGTAGAGTAGCGCAATACTGCTCAAGTTGCACATTTGATATCAGAACAGGAACCCAATACTCTAGAAATCTAGAAGAGTCTGACTTGCAGTCGTATGCAATAAAGCTTGACAACCTCTCCCTTAATTTACCAAGATTATCATTTAAGTCAGTCTTCGGGCCATCACTGGGAGAATCAAGCAATGACAGCAGATTAAAGTGCTCAGCAATGCTATCCTGCAAATTCCAGTAGGATTACTAAGGGTGACCTGGGTTAAATAATATAAACAAAGTGAAAGAGTTATTGTACCTTAAATTGGCCATTGAAAAGGAGAACCCTAACTTCAGTAGTTAGCATTTTAATTTGTTCAAAATGTTTAGATATCCCAATGTGCTGGGATTCATCAACTATGATTGCTTCCCATCTAAGGCACTCTAACATTTCAAGATCCTGCAGAACAATATGTAAAAGGGTTGAATAGATGACTTGGCAAGTGAAAATGTACAACCACTTCAGTGTGCCAGTAAATTTCCGCCCTAATATAAAACTCAAAGAAAATCAATATTACAATGAGAATGAACATCAAGATTAACTTAAAATGAGAACATACAATAGCACATTAACCAGAAGAATATTGGCATAAAAGTAGTAAGAAAATAAAAAACTATGGAAGGTCAAAGTGTTAGTTGTCTGAACCTATCAAAAAGTTTTTAATTAATAACTAATAGTTAAATTTAAAATTGTTTAGCACACACTTCTAAGATATATTAGCAAAACATCATCCACAATATAATATTTTTATTTTAATTTAACATACTTATTTATTATTATTATTATTATTATAGCATAATTTATTTATTTCTACATATCAATCAACTTTAATAAATATCAGCATCAAACGTTTTTTAATACACAATTTTGTTTGTCATGGAAATAACAATGAGAACACCACCCCTCCCCATGCTCAATGAAACCTATCAAACATGGAAAATTGGAAATGAGATTCCCATTTCCAAACCATAACATCTGTTAAACAAGTACAACCTAAGGCCTTTCATGTTATGATTTTGATAATCATTACTTCAACAAATTGAGACAGGGTCCTCTGAGAAAAGCTTGAATACCTCTTTTATTACTATGATTCCGATAAAAGGAAAGGCCACAAAATTAAGAGATTTTAAACCTATTAGCATGATGGGTTGCATGTATAAGCATGTGCTAAGGCAAATTGTTTATTGACAACAACAGGTTAGGTGCAAAGCTTAGTAGCAGGAATCGTCTCAGATGGCGACGACTCCGAGGAAAAAGCGCGATTTTGCGCTTCTGAGGAAGGATCGCATCAGAATCGCGAATCTGAGGAGAGGGAAACGCGAATCTGATGCGGGAAGGGAGCACTATTGAGAGGGCAAGGAGAGTACCTGGTCGCAGGCTTCGATCCTCCGTTCGACGACTTCAATCTCGCCGTTTGACTTCCCTGTCGAAGCCCTAGTCTTCGTCCCTCTCTTCGAAGCCCTAGGTCTTCGTCTCTCTCTCTCTCGCTTCTCTCACCCTCGATCTCCTCTTCGTCTCTGCTTCTCTTTCTTCGCCTCTGTTGCGTCTTTCTTCTCCCTCTCTCGATCTATTCTCTGTCTCTCTCTCTCTTTCTTTCCCTCTCCGTTTTCATTTTATATAATATAATTTATCAATATTTATCATATATAATATAATTTATCATAAACAATATAATTCTTATGTTTAAAATAAAAAATTATTTATTTTATCATATATAAAATAATTTTTATTTATTATTTCTTTTTTATTTTTTAACAAAATTTATTATTTCTTAACTTTTTAACATATAATAAATAAAATAAATCATCTAATTGTTTAAAAGAAATCTATTTAAATCATATATAATATTAAAAAAAACTTAAAAAATTTATAAAATAAAACATCTAATTTTTATTTATTATTTATTTTAACATAATTTATTATTCATTATAATAAATAAAATATAATTAATAAAAATAATACATAAGCGCTCCTAATTTACGACTCCTCTAAGTGGCCACGTTCCCCCGCTCCCGCTCCAACTCCCGCTCCCGCCCCCGCCCCCGCCCCCGCTCCCGCTTCGTGCAACTAAGGTTTAATCAAGCTCTAGTAAGGAAATGGTTATGATGAAACGAATTAGAGGCCATAAGCTTTTGGAGGAAATGAAAATTTTAGTTGAAAGATTGGAGATGGACCTGAAGAAAGGTGACGTGTTCATATGAGGTGGGATTGTGGAAAGCAATTCAAAAAGGGTGGTCTAACTTTTTTGCATGTGTGAGTTTTGTAGTTGAAAACAGATAGAGATAAATAATGGTTTGATATTTGGTATGGGAACATGCCTTGTCAGAAACTCACAAGCCTTCCTGGAGCTGAACAATATAGCAGCAAAAAAGAATGCACTAGTCACAGATTATTTGTGATTATAGATTCTAGAGTTTCATAGGAGTCTAATACAAGATTAAAAATTGAAGACGGAATCCCCATCCAAGGTCGCTTTCTTTGTTTGGACAGCGGCTTTAAGGCGTATTTTGACTATTAATAATTTGATTCGACGCCGTCACATTTTGGTAAATTGGTGTTGTATGTGTTGTTTTGATGCAGAGTCGGTGGATCATTTATTTATTCATTACTCAGTTGCGTCTCAACTTTGGTTGCCTAGTGTTGGGCCGTTTGGATTGGTTTGGGTTCAGTAGGGTACGATTGTGGAGGTACTCATAAGTTGGAGGGGGTGAGTGGGGAAACGTCAGCAGAAGGTATGGATGCTTGATGCTCATTGTTTAATGTAGTTGATCTAGTTGGAGTGTAACAAACAAACTTTCCAAGGGATTTCTCATTCGGTGCCATGGTTGGAGAATAGGCTTCTCTTGGTGCTTCATAGTTAGGTTACAGTTTCGGTGGATCCGGATGTGCTGGCCTTTGTAGATTTTGTGGATGATGTGATTGCTTAGCTATTGGCCTATTGAGGGTTCTATTTTTGTATTATTTGCATCGCCTTGATGCTTTCTAATAATATTTGATTACTTGTTTATCAAAAAAAAAAAAATGGAGAAGGTGGATAAATTTTTTGAGATCTTACATGGGCTCCAGATCTACCACTCCATTCTAATGAGTAGGGGAGAGAGAACTTTCCCTTGGAAAGTTAGATGGAGATCAGATCTACCTAGTGTTATTAAAGGCACGCCCCTAGGTCCAAGGCTCATCAAGGCACAATCATTGAGCTTCGAAACATCTCAAGCCAGGAGATATAAAACAGGCACTATAAAGGTGCATGAAGCATGCGCTTTATCCTTAGGCTCAAGGCACATGACATGTGAACTTCTTTTAAAATGTTTATTTACTACAATTACCAAGGTTTTAAAAAACAGCCGCAACCATTACGTAATGCTGTTACGTAATGATGGTGGTGGTTACCGCCACTCGTTACGTCCGCTATAGCGGTGTGATGGAAATTCATGTGTGTAACGGCCGTTTTAGTGTTACGTAACGGCCGTAACGATCCGTTAGACACCGTTACACCATTTTATAATATTCTGAATAACTTCTTTTTCCCTAAAAAAAAAAAGCAAAAGCTTATAAAAAAAAAAAGAACAAACACTCAAGTGATCCAAACCAAAAGAAAAAATCTTATATGAATTTTTTTTTTAAAATTTTTTTTTTAAAATTTATGGCACAAATTTTATTTTATAATCCGTTCATTTAATAATTGTGAATATTTTTTATTCAATTAATTCAGGTATTGGTAAAAAATAATTTGTAGACATTTAAAATCAATTATTCTTAAAATCATTAACTACTGAAATAAAATGTAAAAAGCCCCTTTTATAATGATTTGAAAATATAAAATATATTGGATCATACTTAAAAATTAACAAAAATTGATCAAAATTTATTTTAAACCCCAATAAATGTGATTCTGAAAAAAAATATATACACATATACGTATCAGTAAGTTTTCTTCAAATTGTGGGGGAAAAAAAAAATCAAGGTTCTGATTACCGCAACCATTACGCTACGGCCTTTACACCCCATAACCGCTACCCCATCACCGCAACTGTAATGGTGACCGCAACCGCTTTTCAAAACCTTGACAATTACTATTACAACCCTTGATTTCACTTAATTTCATTTTTTGTTTACTACAAGGGATTAAACCCCAAACATACATTGCAACCCAACACTTTTTGAACCTTAATTATACAAAGACGTTGGATGGATAGAGCTTTCTCTTTGACCTGACTAACAGTTGTTGATCTTCTTTTTCATCTCCTCAATCTCTTTCTCCTTCTCTATGCTTCTCTTGCTTGACACTTCAATTTCTTTCCTTTTTTCAAATGTTTATGATTTATGAGTTAGATGTTTGTGTTTATATAAAACCTTGAATTATTTGTCTATGATAAAATATTGGCGTTTGTTGGTATTTGTGTTTTAAAAAATATAATATCTCATTTTACTTATATTGAACCTTTATATTAAATTATCTATTTCTTATCGTCAACATGAACCCTACTTCCACGAAGCTCGCACCTCGACTTGTGCCTAGGCCCTAGGAAACCTTGGCGCTTCAGTGCACTTGTCACCTTTAATAACTAAGGTCTTTTCTTGCGTGGACTAAAACCTTAAACAAAAGGATTACCTGCTACCCGACTGGTGTTGTATTAAAAGAGAACCAATGAATCAATAAGTCATATATTACTTCATTGCAAGGTTGCCAAAGATCTACAGAGTATGCCATTTTCCATTTTTGGTATATTCTAGGTTATGTCAACTTCCATACTTTTTTTCAAGTGCTGGGCAAGTAGGTTTCATCCCAACAGGGTGAGAAAGGAATGGATATATGTGCTTGATGTGGTTATGGAGGGAGAGAAACTGAAAAAAAATTAGGATGCGGAGATGACAGTACATAGGTTAAAGAGGATCTCACTTGTTCTTTTAAGTTTTGGGTCAAAGGGTATTTTACTGAATTTTATTTTTTATTTTTATCTCCTTGATTTCATAGGGGAATTGAGCTTCAGGGAGATCTATAGTTTTTCTTTTGTATATTCTAGAGCATAGAGGGCGCTCCCCTTTTGTGCACCTTTTTTTAATATATACTTATACAAAATAAATAAATAAAATTACCTCAACAAGGGCATTTATAGGGCATAAAAGTACTTGGAACATTGTGCAACCCCCATCCTCAGAAAACTCCAATGTCCTGATAATTCTTCTACTATCTTTGCTTCCACCGTAAACTACAACATCAGTAGATGGTGCCAATCGCGAGAACTCAGCTTCCCATAAGGAAAGAACACTGGAATTTGAAATGATGAGGAAAGGCTGACTAACATCGGACAGCAAAGACAAGATAAACAAAACCACCTCCGTTACTCGCTCCTGCAAATAAAGATCCATCAGATCACTACATGAATTACTAGTGCATGTGAAACATAACCAACCCTTGACACAATGAACTCTCTCAAAAGCCAAACATGTTATCACATTATCAACTTGCAAAAGCTATCACTAACCAAAGAACACCCTAGATATAAAAGGGGGATTCCGTTCACAATATTACAAAAGTAAATATAGCCCAAGCATTGCATAATAAAACAAATAGAACACATAAATAATTGCAGGAGTGACAAATCAAGAGAACTACCAGAGTTGCCAAAGAAAAATAAATAAATAAAGGAGATATGAAAAAATAAATGAACACATAAATGAATCACACATTAGATCAATGAAGAGAATAAAAATGGACAGAAAATTTTTGGGTCATTCAGATATGGAGCAAAAGAAAATGAAACAAAGAAATTACAAATATGCTAATTATACAGATCCTGTCTTTCCAACAAAATTGAGCAATAGTAACATATCATTCAGTCAATCCTTTCTTTCCAGCAAAATTTTTCCAAGAGTAATATGTCATTCAGTCAAAACATTTTGAATAATATGCATTGGCATTCTGAAAAAAATTATCAAATTACCACCCCAAAAAAAGAAAGAAAGGAGGAGGAGGAGGATGAATGATGAACTCATAAATATCATGAAAAGAGAAGCTGATAAAGCATCTCAGGTCTCAAAAAATATTATTACAGTTTAGGCATATACTTGAATTGAATGGGATTCAATGGGAAAAAAGTGTATTGTTATTCATTTATGACCTATCAACGTGGGAACTAAGAAAGTTTTCTTTATTATCAATTATGACATTCTTCCATGATGAGATGTTAGAAAATCTAAAGTGTTTGATTTGGGCATGGGGTCATCCACATCCCATACCCTTGCCCTTATCAGTTGTGCAGAATGAAAAACTAAAGATAATAACTTCTGCTCACCAAGAAAACATAAAACCATGGATAAGTAGTTTTCTTTAGCCGGTAAGCAAAATGAGAGAGGTGGTTAATTTTGATGGACAAAAGGGTAGCGGGCCTATAGAGGAAAAATACACTGATGCTCTATTTGGTTCACTGGAATGAGTTGGTATGGAATGGAATGATCATCCCTTAGGCTCTCATATGGAATGATCATTCCTTTAAAATGGTGAATGATGATCCTATGTGTAATGCATTTTGTCATTATTTTTCTACTCAACCAAACATGGGAATGAACATTTTGATAGAATGATCATTCCATTCTGTTTCATTCCAGTAAACCAAACACTACTTGAGAACGATAAGGTCAGGTGTTTGGTTGACAATAGTACAGCAGTGATATCTTCTAAAGGGCATGCTATTCAGGAGGGGATTTACCTAAAAAGCATTTTAGTGCCTTTTTCTTTTGTGTTTGAGGAGAGAATTCAGGGAGAAGCATCTGGACTTATGCAACAGATATCATAAGGCTAGTGAAGACGAGGAAATCATTGTTAGAAGCTGAAAAAGCACCTTTTGTAAAGTAGATGCATTATTTTAGTCTTTGAACAGTTGGTTGGGTGTGTATGTTTCTTGAGGCTTGTATAAGGAGTTTTGGGATCTATCTTTTGTATTTTTCTTTTTTAGATGATTACATAAGTTTTGTAGAGTTGTACCCCTTTGTTAAATCTTCCAACTCTTCAAAAAAAAAGAGAGAGAGAAAAAAAAGTACAAAAGCAGCCCCAAATGCTTTAGTACATCTGCTCCATTCTTTACAAGAATCAGTAAATGATTACTCAACAATGCTCTTTTAGCAATAACAAACTCATTAAAAATAAATGGAGGAATGATGTGAAAACTGATCATATTACATCACCTGGCGATTAATAACAATAGCATTCCGGCCTTTGTGCCAATAATCACGCAGCTTGTTAACAGGGCTTAGTTGATTATAATCAATTTCAGGTAAGACTTCAACTGGCAGCTTCGAAAGTTTGACAAAGGAGCCCTTCGAATTCTGCAGTATTCACTTATATTATATCACAAACCAATACAAATATAATGTCACCACTGATTAGCATCACAACACGTAATATTAATAATATAAAGAAGAAAACTAATGCATTTGACATGACCAGTTGTTTAATGAGCAGTGGGCTGTACCAATCTACCTCCTAACTTAGATGTGATTCACAACTGCAGTGAGCGACTACTAATGAAGCTCAAACAATATACACCATCTGAACACATAATGATTCTGCTCCAAGGAAACTAAAGAATCTCAATGCCAGATTTGGTGAGGGTTGGCTCACATCTGAGCTATGCGACATTGATGTTTAAGCCATACCCTTGTCTTGTAACATAGATAAAACAACTCCAATGCCATTGGGAAAGTGTTGGATAAATAAAAAATGGGTCAAAAACATAAATAGAGCAATGGAACACAGATGTCTAATACATGCCAAGCATGAAGCAAAATAATCTTTCCATGTATACAAGCATAGGAGATTTGACTTCCGGTGGAACTTCAGTTTTTACGTACTTTAGGAAGGGACACACCAAATCTAGCTCAAAGTTAGCAAGTCAGAACTTTCTTTCAATTGAAGAATTAGAAGGAAAGAAAACCTTCAAAATCACAAACCATGCCGTATCACCAGTCTAACATCAACGATTTGAATCCAAAACAGCTACGTATTTGTTTACAGTCATAAATGCACTGATTTTCAAAATCTACATGGATAATAAGAATTTACAAGACAGTTGAAAGCAAATTTTCTAGGGAAAACAATATGCAAGAAATTCAAACAAGACAATAAACTAAGAATATATATTGATTTTCCATATTCTGTGTCCAGAGGCACCTTATCTACTAGAGAGAAAGAAACAACTCTCTTTGCCCTCTGAAGACGATTTTCATACTCTTTTATTAGGATCTGAGCTTCAGGTGAATGCAGAAAAGAAGCATTCTCCAACTCCCACGTAGCACACTCATAATCAAGGCCACACCATTTAACAAGCCATTCAGAGTCACAATCAGAAATATCAACAGTATGCCCATTGTTATAGTCATCTTGCTGTTTGGGAGACCTTAACAACCTTTTCTTTAGCAAACGATGTGGCACGCTCCACTGTTCCATCCACTTCATAGCCTGGAAAGCAATAGACTTGTTACAGCAAGGATCCTGAATTTGTAGTTCTAAGGAATCAAATGCATAACTTGCTTTGACTAATCACTGCAGAATGAAAGACCCAACTAAGAATAGAACCATAGCAGTATTTAAGAATTACTTAACCTGATTATTTTGGTTAAACTTTGAAACAAGCAATGGTGCTTCAAGAAGCAATTGAGGTTCTGGTACCCAATGGTTGTGAACATGAGCAAGACCTTTATATTTAACAAAATACTGCTTCTGTTTTCGTGATCCTATAAAGAAACACCAAATTACCAAAAGAAAATCATTAAAAATGAGAACCATCCATCTGTAGAAAATAGATATGGAGTGTACAATTCAAGCACAGAATTTATATAAATATTAGAAGTATATTTTGCTAATTGTTTTTTCTTGATGATACAGTAAAATTTACTAATTTTCCCATACCTTCAGTGTCTTGCACCTCTATTTCTCTAGCATCCCAAATTGACTCTACTCCTTCAGACACAGAATGGACACCTAATTCTATCTTCTTCTTCACACACGAGAAACAGTGCCAATCTCTCAGTGGGACATCATCCAAAGGTGGATCTAAACATGTGAGATGATAACTTCTCTTGCAACCCTTTCCATCACAGCACCTGAAATTATCCATAAAGGTATGATTTAGACACCAAATCACATCAAGGGTTAAAGATGACCTTGGGCAGAACACCATAATAAATTCCACAAAGGGGAAGAAAAGAAAAAAAAAATCTTTTGTCAGAAAATGATTTTTTTTTTTTTAACTAAAATAAGAAAATGAAGAAAATACAAAATCCACCAAGGGAAACAAGAAGTCCCAAAAAGAAAATTGAGGATAAGTAATGTCATTACAAATGGCAAACAACCTTCTAATCTCTAGAAATCAAAAACAAAGGCACCCCTTTAAAGGGGGGTAACCTGAAACCCAAAAAGATGACAATTAACATATCTTCCTCCATAGATCTTCACTTCAAACATCAAAACTTCTCACATTTCTTTCCATCCAAATAACCTAAGTACAGCATATATCACACTATTCCAAAGGACTGGAGCATGCATACAGAACAAAAACCTCTATAACCAACAATAAGCATTCGGATACATGAAGCCAAAACTATATATAAATCAAACAATATATTATGAAAAGCAATAGGAATAACTGTATACAAATAACTCCATTAAGGTAAAGCCATACTTAAAATGTTAATAAAGCTTATACTTCCACAACAAAAACGAACAAGTAAATAAGTTTAATTCAATATACAATCAACTCTCTAATAACTAATAATAATGGGAGATTTATAAATTACTTATTCGGTATTAAATTTCACCCTAATTCCCAACAAAGGAAATTTATTCATGGTATACAAGTTTGAGCATTGTAGAGAAATGTATTTATTTTGCTATTTAGTTTAGGGGTTTTTTTGTATCTTTATTATCTTTTTGTCTTTACAGTTTCTCTCTATTATTATTAGTGTAATCGACTAAGTAATTTGAGTATTATGGAGTAATAGAATGCAACACATTTTTTCCCTCCTCAAACTTACATTATATTAGAGCTTGAAGTACTGCAATGTTGAGTAGGGTGCATGTCTTGTGCCCTGCACACTAGGCATGAGAGAGTGCGAAGCGAAGTCACATATCACATTGGTACAAAGGGGGTGTGTGATGTATAAGCATGAGGGTATCCTCACTTCACAAGTAACTTTTAGGATTGAGTTCTACTTAAGACCATGTCACAAGCACAAAATTATGACTAGTGCATATGTTTTTATCATAATAATTTTTTTCAAAAAACTTATTATAGTCTAAATTGTCAAGAAATTCTGAATCATTTTCTTCGAACTAATAAATTGAAGCTACTCATAATTCTTGTTAATTATATATGAGCTTGAGTGTATTTTTTCATGCTAATAATTACTAGTATACAAGAATTATCTCAAAAGCTTATTAATTATTGATATTGAATATTATAAACATCATATTCGCCACGGAACGAAGTTGTTTTTCAAAAAATTATTGTTTGTTGGAGATTATTAAGTTATTCAAAAATAACTACTAAAGGTTTAATTGTATACATACTAACAGTCACTTGAAACACTAAATGGATATAAAAAAAGGTTTACCCACAGGAGCTTTTCACCAAGCTTGCAGATGAAACATGTAACATCTAAAGCAGACTCCTTCCGTAGTGCAATGCCGTTGTTTTTGTCAACCAATCCTTGAACTTTGACTTCAGGCTCCACTCTATCCTAATTCAAGGCATTACAAAAATAACAATATTTATTATATGGTTGATAATTCATCTAGCATAAATGTAGAATGCTAAAACTTACAATAAAATGATATTGCAGATCGCCTATCATGGGTTCAAATACCAATACAGTACGATAAGGTTAGGGTGATATGAAAAAAATCTAAATAACATAGGATATAAGTACGCCTAGATACGTTCGTAAGAAATAATAATAATAATTCCTAATATTGTACTATGCATAAGCTTAACTTTAGAAATTAAGGCCAAGTTTGGCATGTCCAGGAAAAGTCAAAAAGTTACTCAAAAAGTTAAAAAGTTAACACTATTCACCAAAAGTCAACAATTACGGCTGCACAACTCCCAATCCTAATTTTCTCCTACAAACCAATTTTTACAATTTTTTATTACATATTTTTCCATAAAAAATCAAAAAGTTAACCCAAACATCTATATTTTTTTCCTCAATTTTTTAGTCCAAAAAGATAAAAAGTGCACTTATTTATGACACCCCAAACAATCCCTAAGTATTAATTTAATAGTTAGTAGTCGGTTTACTATTTTTTTAATAGGTCCTATAAAAATTTCATTTCAATAACAAGTCTAATTAAGTATATGACATCCGTATATAACAGTGTTTTAAAAGGCACGCCTAAGCGTGAAGTGTTGTGCTTCAAACAAGTCAAGGTGAGGTGCAATGCGCAAGGCGCAACTTAGGTGCTGAGGCGAGAGCTTTTTTTTGAGGCACAACGCAGAGGCTTCATGGGCTTTACATATTTTTCAACTCCAACTTTTGATTAAGTGCTTTTTTTGTGGGCGCACAAGGTTTCAAAACTCTTCAATATAAAATGACCAACCGTGGTCAAAAGAAAGCAGAAAGTGACAAAAGATTGAATACTATGTTTTATATCTTTTGTTGGATATTATATTTTTTAGTTTTTAGAAGATTGAATGTTATGTTTAAATATTATCGAAAATGGTAGTGATTTTTAAAATTCTATATGTATATTTATCATGTTGAAAAGTTTGTCTATTTTATAATTTTGCTTTTCTTCTACTACTTGCGCTTCGCTTTGGTGAGACGCATGCCTCACCTCACACCTCGCGCTTAGGCTATAGGAGACCTTATCGCCTCGGTGCGCTTAGAGCCTTTTAAAACACTAGGTATATAGGAACTCGTATAAGCACCCAAAAAAAAAGGTTCTATTAATAATACATTTTCTTGAGAAACTATTCACAATAAATTACTAAATTATCAGTAACAAATTATTAGTACTTAACTGTTTTCTAAAAATAATCATGTAAACAACTAATATTTAGCCAACTATTATTGTTACCTATATTTCTAAGATTACAGAAAGTTGATATGTATTACAATTTATTATTACTAGTGATTTAGGTCATATTATCGTATATAACCAAAGATTGTGTCCCTCTTGAATATGGTATAATATATCAAATTGTGCATTTGCTCTCTCATAGAATGAAGAAGAAAAATTGCTTTTTAATATTTCTCAATAGATAGCCATCTCAAAACATATATCTAAGAATAACAAAATGAGAAAAATAACATTAATTCCCAACTTCACTTCCTCATATGCATACTAAGTGTTGTAGTTATAATGGTCTTTACCCTTTGTCATACCCTTTCAAGTTTCATCCAAAGAATCTAGTCATATATTTTCTATAGAACTACGTTAACTTACATTCAATCAAGTCATACTATGAAGGGAAATATGCTGAAACCTTCCTTTATGTAGACATCTAAGAGAGCTTTTTAACTCATAAGTGATTGTACAAAGCAATTGTAATCCTAGGGGCAATACCTAAAGAATACTAAGTGAAATTCCTAGAAGATTCTCCTCCTCATTACTCTTATTCTTCTTCTCTGCTATTAGATTTGCTATTCTACTAACAACAACCATTAATCTCTATATATATTTACACTCCATTTGTTTTGGGGGAAAACATTTTTCAAAAAAATATTTTTCACATTTTCTGGTGTTTGGTACAACGGAAAACATTTTTCATAGTCAACGAAAAACGAGCCTATTTGGACAGAAAATGCTTTCCGAACTAAAGTTTTACCAATGCCGCCACCACCGCTACCGCCATTGCCGTTGCCACTACCACGACCTCCGCTGCCGCCACCACCAACACTACCACCTCTACCCTATCACTACCACCACACCACTATTGCTAATGCCGTCACCACCAATACTGCCGCCGCCCCAACACCTCCACCTCAACCCCGCCGCCGCCACTACTACTACCACTAATGCAACTATCAGTGCATTAGTTTCAAGATCGCAACCAAAAGTTTCAAAAAAACAAAGCATTAATTCAATTCCAAACAAGGCAATTGGACAAAAGCTAACCCTTTCCATACTCTTCTTCTTTATGTTTCAACAAATTCATTTTATTTCAAATTCCAAACCCGTAATAGTGTTTTTTTGGGTGAATAAGTCATAAATTAAAACAAAAAACTTACACAACTACAAGGGGCATGCCCTAGGCCCTAACCAAAGCTATATGTGCGGAAAACCCTTGATAGTTACCGTCCAAAAAATTCAAAAAAATTAGTTTGCTAAAAACCACTAATCCCATTTGAAACTAAGGAAAATTCCAACACTTTACTATCTGTAAAAGTAATAACTTCTCTTCCACCTTTTGAAACCCTTAGGCTATGTTTCATTTCCATATTACTTTTGTGGAGGATTGAATATTAGTTGTAGTGTGCTTGAGTAGGGTGGGATCAAAAATGGGATAATGGGACAATAATTCTTTTATACTGTTGGATGAGGATGGAGATAATTTGGATGGGAGGGATAACTAGTAAGGAAAGAAAGACCACAAAAACAAGTCATTTCATAATACAAATACCTTCAGACTAAAGAATAAATGAAAAGATAATACATATACCTTTTCCATTTGGAACATGTAAGACAAGCTCCAAAACAATTATCCCTTTTGCACCCAGATGATGGTGGAGAAACAGCATCCACATTAGTGGTGCATATACGTTCACTTTCAAATTTTGCGGAAGCTTTAGAATCCATCTCCACTGTATACCTCTTTCTTTTAGATGACACTTTGTCGCCAGTTTCCTCATCAATATCATCATCACGTAATCTTCCCATACAAGAAGAACCTACTAACTCCGGAGTTTGCAACTTCACCACTGCAGAGCAATCCACTTGCACACTTTCAGAACCATCAAGAGTTTCATCGACTCTTTGATCAGTCATTGAGGCATTTAAATCATTTCCTTCGGAAGTCTCATAAGTTTCTTCCCTAGAACTATGCTTCTGACTTGAGCATGAAACTCCCACTTCACCATGATTTCCTAAGGCTTCTGCATCAAAATTTCTTAACCTACAATTCGATCTCTCCGCACAACCTTCACGAGCTCCCTCAGTGCATTCTTCTCCCATCCTCTCCAAAAACTTATCACTCCCATCCTCTTCATCTTCCACTTGTTTAGAAACACTACCTCCACAACAGCTACTGTCAACTTGAGACAATTTATCTGGCCTTTCCAGCTCCTCATCAGTATCTATTACATTAAAAGACAATAATAACAATTCATATAAAAACAGAGAAAACAGAAGCAAGATTAACAAAACTGTGAAAGCAAAGATTAATAAAGCTGAGAATGCAATCATACAACTAGTTGATTATAAGAAAATAGCCATTAGACAGAACAGAACAAACATGTAGCCTTCCAGCCATACTATGAACTATGGACAAATCGTGGTGTTTCATTTTCCCCTTGAAACAGGTAAATTGCAATTTGCATGTGAATTCTTTCACTCCCACGAGAATATAAAAATACAGGATGAACAATGCACAAAAAAATTCTTAAAAAGAGGGGAAAGGAAGCTAAGAGAAAAACTTAGCTACCTGGCACAGTCTCCCTTCTTCGTTGTTGCTTAAACAAAGACTTATAAGTACGAGCATCCATTCTCTTTTTTTTCACACCAACAGATTTTGGATCTTGTTTTTCTCTTCTACTTATTTCCCTAGCTTCCAATGTCAACTGTATCACACTCTTCTCTGTTTTTAACTTTTTCAATTTAACATCCGATGAACCAGACCCCCCTTCAGACTTCTTTGAACCAGAAGAGCTCGATGACAGGTGTTTCTTACCCCTGTCAGACCTTCTCAAAGGACTAGGTGTCTCTTTCTCAACCATCTCAGATTTCCTCTTAACTGGAGTTGTCATTGGCGTCCTATTCTCAATCCACTCAGACTTCCTTGCAGTTGAAGGGCTTGAGCTTATCTGTTTCCGCGATGGTGTCTCCCTAGTTGACCTTCTTAAACCAGTGGTATCTGGCGTTGTAGAGCCTGATGTAGATGAATCTTTATCAATAATGGTCTTCTTTCTTGGACTATTACTCTCATTATCATCCTTATTGCGACTAGATCGTTTGTCAGTTGCCATCCTTTCAGGTTAAGTTGAGCAATTAGAGCTCTCCTCCCTGATACCAAGGAAACAAAAAATTAATTAATTAATTAATCATTCCATTATTAGGAAATTCACATCAGAAACAATACGAAAGCTATTGCAGCAAACAAAAAATAAAAACCCTTTGGTTAAAACTAAACGTAATAAGCATCCATTCAACTAGATGGGACTATGATTCTTTCCAATAATCTTGTAATGATGGTTTAAGTAAGCGGTTTAAGCCCAAAACACAAGTCATGGTGGTTCAAGCTCAAAACACATTATTGCAAGGATATTAATGCAGAGAATTCTATTCCAACTAGATGTGTTGAATTTTAATCTAAATTCTATACCAAAAAAAAAAAAAAAATACAACAAGCCACCTGATAAAAATTGAAGGGTAGATAAGGCAGGCATTTTTAAGAATTGGCATCGTTATTCATTCAATCTCTCTCAATAAATACAAATAATAATTCATCACTTCGTACATGCAAAATGGGTTTAATCAAATAAATGGAAAGAAACCATATTGTTTGAGGCAAAGCAGGTGAGCAGTCATGATTAAGTCATTAACTTTATGTTACGAAAAAAAAAACCCTAGAAAATGGGGGCCTTCTAGACAACAATGTTGAAGCCATGAACCACTGCAACTGCTTCAAAACCGTTCCTAGAAACCCTAGTTTCGCCGAACAACACGAATTGAAACACTAATAGTAATTTCACAAATTCTCTCATATGAACGGAAACCCTCGAAAAAAATTCAGAAAACTGAGATTGAATGCATGAAAACTTGAAGTATTCAACTGGGTAGAGAAGATCACACCTGAAAACCCTCGTTCCGTGCAGCTCTGCGCGAGAGAGAGAGAGAGAGAGAGAGAGAAGGTTCACAGATCAGCTCAAGTCATCACTAGCTTGCTTGAGCGAAACCAGAAATGAGGTTGGGTTCACGCATTTAAAGTGAAATATAAATGGGTAAATTACAAACACATAATTAATTAAAATATCAATCGTATAAATGGGTAAATTACAAACACATAATTTAAAATCAGAACCGAATTCATCACTTCGTACATGCAAAATGGGTTTAATCAAATAAATGGAAAGAAACCATATTGTTTGAGGCAAAGCAGGTGAGCAGTCATGATTAAGTCATTAACTTTATGTTACGAAAAAAAAAACCCTAGAAAATGGGGGCCTTCTAGACAACAATGTTGAAGCCATGAACCACTGCAACTGCTTCAAAACCGTTCCTAGAAACCCTAGTTTCGCCGAACAACACGAATTGAAACACTAATAGTAATTTCACAAATTCTCTCATATGAACGGAAACCCTCGAAAAAAATTCAGAAAACTGAGATTGAATGCATGAAAACTTGAAGTATTCAACTGGGTCGAGAAGATCACACCTGAAAACCCTCGTTCCGTGCAGCTCTGCGCGCGAGAGAGAGAGAGAGAGAGAGAGAAGGTTCACAGATCAGCTCAAGTCATCACTAGCTTGCTTGAGCGAAACCAGAAATGAGGTTGGGTTCACGTATTTAAAGTGAAATATAAATGGGTAAATTACAAACACATAATTAATTAAAATATCAATCGTATAAATGGATAAATTACAAACACATAATTTAAAATCAGACCCGCTACAGATTCCCAGGTCGCACTCCCAGTGAGGTGACGTGCCCCCCACTGGCCGAAATTCAAAAAAAAAATAAATAAATAAAACATTTTTTTTTAACCCAATCACCGTCTGCCATCTCACTGGGGGTCAACCCCAGTGGGGTTTGAAGCATTAATCATTTAAAATATCAATCGTTAATATTTTATCTTTTATCAATCGTTAATATTTTATCTTTTGAGATTTTTAATTTTATAATAAATTATTTTTTATTAATAAATTATCAAGTTAATTAATAATTTTTAATAATATTAAAAATATATTTTAATTAATAATTTAGATAATTTCATTATTGCATAGAAGAGTAATTATAAATTTTATTTTTTTAATTAATTCTATTAAATAAAAACTCTGATAAGGGGTATTTGTAATTTTTCAAACCACATGAGACAATTTGTATTTTAAGCAAACCTCAGAGATGTATTTGTAATTTACCTAATATATATTAAAAAAAAAGAGTATTTTGATTTTTCATATATTAATATATTTTTACACATTTTATTATATTTTCGATAAATTACACTCATCTCGCTTAAAGTTTTAAAAAAAAAAATGCAGTTAGTCTTTTACTATTTAATAATTACATTAATTTCTCCTTTACTACGGTTAAAATGACAAAAATCAATTCTAATCGTTTAGAGACACTGGAACCAAAGATAATATATATATTTAACTATTTAATAATTACATTAATTTCTCTTTTACTACGGTTAAAATGACAAAAATCAATTCCAATCGTTTAGAGACTGGAACCAAAGATAATATATATATTTATAGAAAAGTAATTGTAATATTATTAATTTCATTCATATTATTAACGAATTACTAATGAAAAAAATACTTAAATGTTATGTGAATTAAAATTTTGAGAGAAGTCAATGTAATTATGCCAAAAGTGTAGGATTTAATTATATTATTTTCAAATGATATTTTATATGATTTCCAATATTGGATTTTTTATTTTTTTTTTTATAATCTTTAGGCTTCTAAGTTATACTTGATTAGGGAACAAAAAGTCAAAACAATTGACTCTTTGAGCTTATTTTTTACCTTTTTAAAATTAGTCTATGCAAGACAGATAAGAAAGTTTTAAAAAAATATATAGAAAAAAAATGGTTTTTTATTTTTTAGACGTATACAGATTTTCTTCTTTTTGTAGAGCATTTATCCTCATTTTTTTTTAAAGTAATACTAGATTTTCCATAATATCACGTGGAAATGTCACCTAGTGGTATTTCTACAAAATTATTACAATTTGATGAAAAATATAAAAATATAATTATTAATATTTATAACATTTCTCATTGATACGTAATCTATATCTATACTATATATTAAGTAAAAGCGAGTTTTTAACCCCAAGGCCTGTGGAGCTCCAATCTCCTAATCCTAATTTTCTAATTTTTTGATTTAAAAAAAAAAAAAACTCAGCATTTATTGACTTCTCCCAACCCAACCTCATCATTTATTGACATTTATCCTCATTTTTTTTTAAAGTAATACTAGATTTTCCATAATATCACGTGGAAATGTCACCTAGTGGTATTTCTACAAAATTATTACAATTTGATGAAAAATATAAAAATATAATTATTAATATTTATAACATTTCTCATTGATACGTAATCTATATCTATACTATATATTAAGTAAAAGCGAGTTTTTAACCCCAAAGTCTGTGGGAGCTCCAATCTCCTAATTCTAATTTTCTAATTTTTTGATATAAAAAAAAAAAACTCAGCATTTATTGACTTCTCCCAACCCAACCTCATCATTTATTGACATCTCCCAACCCACAATCCCTTTTGACTTCTCTCATAATTATTGCAACACCCTTTTCAATTTCTCGCATACACTATGGTTACACACAAAAATAAAAAATAAAAAAAGATAAGAATTTAGCTATAAATCTCAAAAAGATATAACATCTAAATTTGAATTATGATTTAATAATATAATTATGTATTTTTTTATGTATATCTATCAAAATTTTAAATCACTTAATGGGAAAAATTAATCAATTTTCCAAAATTATTGATTTTTAATTTACAAAATAGATTAAAAAAAACTATTGACTGATTTATTTATTTAAAACAAAAATATTTCATAATCTCTCCCTCCTAATCTTTCTCACAAATTTTCAAATAAAAATATTAAAACTTCCATTCTTTTTCTCTTCCCCAAAAAATCAAATAATAATTTTTATTAAAGTTGTAGATATCTACCTATATTTTATATATTATATTATAACATAACAAAAAAAAAAAAAAAACTATAAAACTAAAAAAAAAAATAAATTTAATTTTCATCAAGTTCTATTAAAAAAAAATCCTAGTAAAATAGTTGTTAAAAATAATTTTTTGTGACAATTATTTGCACATGTCTCTAAAAATTGACACTTAGTAATTTTTTTTTTTACAATTTTTATATATTGTCGCTAAAACTTACAATTAGTGATATTTTTTTGTGATGAAAATTTTCAAACTGTCGCTAAAAATTGAAAATTAGTGACTTTTTTGTGGCGCTTTTTTTAAACTACCGTTAAAATTTATAATTAGTGACATTTTTTGTAACAATTTTTAAATTATCGTTAAAAATTAACAATTAATAATACTTTTTAATAATATTTGATGAAAAATATAATTAATTATTATAAAATCTATTAGATATAAGTCAAACTATTCAAACTTACGTGTTTTATTATAAAATCTATTTGATAATAAGTCAAACTATTCAAACTTATATGTAAGTCCCTCATAAAAATAAAAATAAAAAATCAACAAAATAAAGGATTCATTGTACACCCTACATATAGACCGCATCCAAGAAAGAATTGTTCCTCCGTTTCTGTTTCGCCAAGTATTCCCCTCCAGAGTTCGTCTCTGTTTTTCGAAGGACTTTTCCCTTTAGATGAAAATTCTCCCCATTCGACGAACTCGCCCCCTTTCTGTATAAACTGTTGAATTGCTGTTGGCGAGTGAAATTTTCCTTCACACTTTTGCACACAAACACCTAGTGAAACACCTTTGCTTTGGAGTTGAGGCACCTTGAAGCTGG